ACTTCCGAAGCCCGTTTTCCGCTGTTAGGATCCAACAACCACAACAATTACGACGTCCGAATCCCAAAACTAAAATATGACAATATCAGAACCAGAAACAAAAGTGATATGGTTCAAAAGACTTGAAAAGATCGACTTTGACAATAGACACATCCCACTGGGAAAACAAACATGGAGGTTTGACGCTCACTTTTTCAGAAAATCCTTCCCAGTGTGAATTGCGCGACGACCAGAAGTCCGAGATTTGTGATTCCTGTACAGACAGTGTGTTTAGTCCTGTGCCTGTTCACTCGGAATCACTTGCAGGACCCTGACGCTGTTGGGACGCTGACTCAGCATCGCTCTGGTCCAACGCGACGCGCTAAAGACATCATCACTTTTACAAGACCTCGTGTTTAATTACGCTTCGTAAAGGGACCAAATCGTCCCGTTTTCCAGACCCGCCCCCCCCCCCCCCCCCGCGCCGCCTCTGCTCCGTCTGCCGCTCTCTCTCTCTCTCTCTCTCTCTCTCTCTCCGCGACGGTTTTTCCAACCCCCGTCCACGCGAAAGAGCAAAAGGTGCAGATTTCCCAGCGTGCCGTGCGTCCGCTGGCCCTGTGCTCGGTGAGAATGTGGCTCCTGCTCAAAACGTTAACAACAACAAAGAGGTAATAACTAAAAGTGTTACCAGGCAACTATTGTCTAAACAAAGGACAGAGCTCTTCAAGTTACACAATAGTTAGTGTTATTTGACCAAAAAGATTAAAAAAAAAGTACAGCAGCACGTTTATTTTCTTACGTAAAAGTCCAGTGCTCAAATAATTTACATTTTCCTCGGAGTTTGGTGGGATTTTGTCAGTGTTGGAGCGTGTATCTCACACCTTCAGTCGTGTCCGTCTGAAACAATCCACTCCTCAAGAAAGATTTGATGGTTATAAAAGCGTCTTATTTTGCAGAAACACAGAATAAAGAATAAAGAATAAAGAGCCGTGGAGATTCTGTGCACGGAGAAGAAGTGAGGAGGAGGGGCTAAACCAGAGCTAAAACCAGGACTCTACTAAACCAGAGCTAAACCAGACTAAACCAGGACTAAACCAGAGACTAAACCAGGCCAGACTAAACCAGAACTAAACCAGAACTGTTTTTCGGGACTGGCCTAAAGGTGCGCCCCTGTAGACTGTCGGGTGACCACAGACAAAAAGACTGAGCCGCGCTTTGCAGACAAGAGTCCTGTTCTGGTCTTGGTTTAGCTGGTTTAGTCCTGTCTCTTGGTTTAGTCCTGGTTTAGTCCTGTCTGGTCTTGGTTTAGTCCTGGTTTAGTCCTGTTCTGGTCTGGTTTTGCTGGTTTAGTCCTGTCTGGTCTGTTTAGTCCTGGTTTAGTCCTGGTCTTGGTTTAGTCCTGTTCTGTCTTCTTGGTTTAGTCCTGTTCTGGTCTTGGTTTAGTCCTGGTTTAGTCCTGTTCTCTGGTTTAGTCTCTCAGTCTCTTCTGTTTAGTCCTGTTCTGTCTTGGTTTAGTCCTGTTCTGGTCTTGGTTTAGTCCTGTCTGGTCTGTTTAGTCCTGTTTAGTCCTGTTCTGGTCTTGGTTTAGTCCTGGTTTAGTCCTGTTCTGGTCTTGGTTTAGTCCTGGTTTAGTCCTGTTCTGGTCTGTGTATTTTTATATTTCACTAATGTTTGTGGCTCTGGTTCTCGAGTCTTTCTCTTTCTTCCTGATAATAACATCGCTGCTCCACTGGATACTCGCCCCTGATTGGTTGATGCGGCGCGTCTAATGCAAAAAGTTTAATCCATCAACAACTTTATTAATCCCAAAGGGCAATTCAGTTCACAGTTTTTCAGCTTTTTAACTTGTGACACTGATGCTGTGGACGTGCGTCCAGAGCGTCGATGCCAGACAAACGCTCAAGACACGTCTAACACGTCTCACCCTCTAACAAAAATACAATCACTTTTTTTCTTAGTTCTAGTTCTTAGTTCTCCTCTAAGTCAGGCATGTCCAAACTATGGCCCGTGGGCCAAAAGTGGCCCTCAGACAAATTTTTCTTGGCCCTCAGGCTTCCAGGTGAATTGGCTCAAATTACCTTGCATCAATTAAAAATGTATTTTTTATTGCTGTTTTTTTTTTTTTTAAATCTACCTTGATAAAGTGAATTTTTAATATTTAGTGTTTGCTCACGCTCTCCTCGGGGTCACACTGACCCGAAGAAATGTTTTTTTTCCTTCCCGCTCTCTTGGGACGGGTCAATCAGACCCAAAAATGTATTTTCTTGCCTGTCGAGAATTTATTTGAAAATAAACTTTTGGGTCTGATTGACCCGCCCCAAAAGAGCGGGAATGGAAAAAAAAACATTTCTTCGGGTCAATGTGACCCTGAGGAGAGCGTGAGGGTTTTAAGGATCTTAGCGTGAACAAAGTCTGACGGCTCATTCTAACGTGTTAAACATGCACAGATTTCAGTTATTCACTGTACTGAGCTCCAGTCTTTCACCCTCGATCGACCCTCTGCTTCATCTGGGTTTAGATTTGTGGCCCCTGATGAAAAAAGTTTGGACACTGTTGCCCTAAGTTTATACTGACTCTCTGCTCAAATAAGTCAGCAGAGCAGATCAGCAGATGATTATTATAGGATTTGTGTGTCACTGCAGCTGTTCTCAGGTCGACAAGATGAAAAAAAATTAAGTACTTTTATCTTAACAAAAAGCGGATTCTTAATAACCCAAATGTTGCACGTAACATATTTCACCTTGTTACTTTTTATTGTTTTGAAAATGTTATATTCTGTGAAAACAAAGTATTAACACATTTTAGAAGTTTTGTTTTGATGAGTTGATGTCTGGATGATATTTAAACCCTCGTCCAGCATGTTTTTGAGGAGGGAATAACGTTATAACACTGGAGAAAGCTCCAAAAAGTCGATTCTGCATAAGACCTTTTTAACAGCTCGTCAGAAGGTGCGACCCTCACAGTTATTTTTACGCCCCAGCTGTCCGCACGTTCAACACCCTCACTGTGCACTTTTATGTTTTCATAATCGCCCCGACGCTCCAGATGTGTTTCGCCAATCCCCGGCCGCGCCCAGGCTCTCCGCTCGGGCCCCCGCGGTCCTCCCCCTCTCCGGATCACATGCCTCGGCGGCCGTCGGGAGCCGTGAAAGATAAGACCCGACCCCAAAACGCTTCCAGAAAACCCCGCAGCTCTGCCCAGACACCAAGAAAAACAGCGCGAGCGGGATTCAGACAGAAACATCCCGGGAACGCGGCGCTGCAGAAGATGGGCTCCCGGGCCCCCGCAGGTACACGATACTCACCAGCGCGTACTCCAACCACATGTCAGGAGGAGCGCCGTAATCCGTGCCAGATGACGGTTTACAATATCCACCCGTAGACGCGCCGAACTGAAGCAGACCTGGCATCAGCACATTTGGGTTATTAAGAAATTGGTAGAAATGTCCAAGTATTTATGAGAATTAGGTTTGTAAAAATAACACGTTCGGTTAAGTAAATGACACTCTTCAGCCGCGGTGGAAAGAAAAAGTGAAAGTACAGTTATGTGGCTAATGAATTTCATCTACAAGAACTGGTGCCAAATCTATACTCTAGTAAAAGTAAAAAGTACACATGCACAATACTACTGTAGTAACTTTTGATGGGTTTAGAAATGAGCAGAGAAAGAGCAGAGACAGACGTGCTTTCAGGTTGGGACTTGTAGCTCATTAAAATTAAATCTATGCTTAAAATTTTACAAAAAGTAAAAGAGTATAAATAATTACCCCAAAAAATCTGCTCAACTACAGTAACATAACGATTTGTAAGTCATTTTTGGGGCATTTTCAGGCCCTCGTACAAACTGAACTTTACTCATTCTTCATTTTTCTACACAATCTACTGCTCAACGTATGAAAAATTAACAATATAATACTGGATTAATATTGAATGTTTTTTTAGTTAAGATCACTGTGAGATTTGAACTTGCAACCTGCACGGTGGGAAAACAGTTAGTGTCTTTCTGTGTGGAGTTTGCATGTTCTCCCTGTGCCTCTGGGTTCTGTTCTACATGTGGGGGCCTGGACTCCCCTGAAAAACAGATCATTAATCTGAGCAGGACAGTCCTGGTTCACGCTCTCCTCGGAGTCACATTGACCCGAAGAATTTTTTTTTCCTTCCCGCTCTCTTGGGCGGGTCAATCAGACCCAAAAATTTATTTTCAAAAAAATTCTTGCCAGACGAGAAAATAAATTTTTGGGTCTGACTGACCCGCCCCAAGAGAGCGGGAAGGAAAAAAAAATGTCTTTGGGTCAATGTGACCCCGAGGAGAGCGTGAGGGATTTATATAAAGGTCAATAAACCTGAGCCTGAAGGTGAACACTGTACATTTGGTTTTAGATGACATGTTCATGTTAAATGATTTATACAATTTGTCTGTTGTATTTAGGATCAAGCTCTTCCTGTGTGATGGTGTCACACCTGAGAACATGTGCACGTGTCCGGAACCGACCTCCTGCTGGAGCCCAGAGTCACGACTAAACACGAGGAGTCACAGTTTCATGTGGAACATTCTTCCTGAACATGTGAGACAGACTCGACTCTGACTCTGTTTAAATCCAGACTCAGAACAGTTCTGTTTATCTGCGTCTGACTGAAAGTTTTTCATTCCGCACTTTTCTAATTTATCTAATTAATGTTTCTCTCTTTTTTTATTTTATGATGGTTATTTATGTTTTGATTTGTTTTTATTGTGATTTTAATGTATTTCTTATTCTTTAAAGCACTTTTAGTTACTTTGTATGACTTGTGCTGTACAAATAAACTTGCCTGTGTCCTGTTGTGATCTGACTTTACAGACTGTAACTGTGTCTCTTCTTTTTATTCCCATTGTGGTGGATTAACATTTCCAGACGTTACAGAGGACCACACCAGGCTCTGACCATAAAGACTTTATTCACACGCCTGCACGCTCTTTCATACACAGCAGCTCTTTGGGTTATGTTACACTGAGGTGAAGCAGGTTGACGGGTCAGTCCCAGGTCAGACCTCCCAGCAGGGCCGGTACACCCGCCCCACCATGCACCTCATGGTGTCCCGTCTGAGGATGGGGATGTTCAGGTCCTGGTGCTCCTCTTCCGCCCTCCTCTTGAACAGGCCCGTCCCGCTGTGCAGCCCCCGCAGACCCTGCCACAGCCCGGGGTCCCCCACCACGATCACCCTGGGGGGGCGGGGCTTAGAGCTCACCTAAGGACCACATGTCAGACAGTCATCAATGATTGTGGGGTAGTAGTTTTAATACAGTCAGAGCAACTTAAGCATAACTACAAATGCCTAAAAATGAATTCTGTTTAGGTTTTCCTTCTGTTTGAATACAGCAGAGGATCCATCAGCCGGTTTTACTTCGTTTCACTTCGTACAAACCGTGTGACCTCCCAGACTTAGATTTCGTTCGCTCGACAGTAGACAGGTACTTTTATCATTTAACCAATCACTGTTATTTGGTCGTGATGTAGTAATGTGCCGCTAACTGGTATAGGACTAACTATAGGACTAACTGGTATATTAAGCTTTCCCCGAATCCCGTAGGAAGAAGAACAATAACGTCTTTCCCCTTGATAAAAATCACCAAACATTCTCTTTGTTCTGGCTTTAAATCCTCGATCTCGGGAATCATTGACAACACAGAATATATGACTTTTCGCCGATCGGCTGATGCCCGAACTCACACTTCCGGGGTTTTTGCGAACCATCTCGTGCAGAGGTGTCTAAACTTTTTTCATCAAGGGCCACATTTCTAAACACAGACGAAGCAGAGCGCTGATCGAGGACCGTAGACTGGGGCTCTGTACAGTGAATAATTGAAATATGTTTAATGTTTAACATGTTAGAATGAGCCATCAGACTTTATTCACGCCAAGATCCTTAAAACCAAACACTAAATATTAAATATTGGCTTTATCAAGGTAGATTTTCAAAAAACTTGCAGTAAAAAATGATTTTTTAATTGATGCAAGGTCATTTGGGCCAATTCACCTGGAAGTCTGAGGGCCAAAAAAAACTTTATTTGTAATACTTGTCTCTCAAATGCTCTCAGACATCTCCTGAAATATTCTCATATCATTCAGAGCAAAATCCATTTTATCTCACTCATGAGGGTTTAGTGTTTCACTTTTTGATTATTTGATCAAAAATGTGCTTTTTCAAGGTTCTCATTCTTAGAAGAGAAACTTGAAGAACTACAACGTGAAAAGTGAAGGAACGGAGAAGTTGGAAACTTAAATAAAAGTAATTTATTGGTTTTATCATTATTCGTTTCACGTTGTAGTTCTTCTTCTTCACTTGCCGCTTGATCGGTCCGTTGGAAAATAGAGTCCTGCGGTCACTTACGTTGTGGCTTTTTAATGTGTTGTGGCTTTTTAATGTGTTGTGGCTTTTGCGTTTGTATTGTGGCGTTTGTATTTGTTGCGGCGTTTGCATTAAAATCGAGTCCCGCGGTCATTTCCGTTGTGTCTTTTTTTGGTTTGTTGTGGCTTTTTGTTGTGTTGTCGCATTTGTATTTGTTGCGGCGTTTGCGTTTGTTGTGACCCTCTCGGCTTCCGTATAAAAGTATGTGTAAACACAAACTCAAAGTCACTCCGCTCTTTTCTCTCTACAGGCTGTGGTAAATACTTGAGTAGCCGCAGCTGCCCTGGGGCGTGAGATCTCCCACAGTACAGAAGCATCACAACATTCACGACACTCACCTCCACCTCGCTCAGGTTGGTCTCGCTCATGTCGTCGTTCAGCAGCGAGGCCAGCGCGTCCTGCTCCAGCGACCCGTCCTCCGCTTTGCTTATGGGCACGGCGGCGGACACGGCGCAGCACTCGAGGATGAGAGCCGCGACCAGGAAGCTGGACGACCACCACGATCTCATGTCGACGGTTTCTCCGGGCGTTCCTCTGGGGGTCTTCGGGATCTTCTGCTTCACCGGCGGCTTCTCGGCGGCTGTTCTGACTCTCGGTTCCCGTCTTCTTCTTTTATAGCGTGAGAAGATCAGGTGTGTGGACGCAGAAGGTCGCTCCGTCTTCTGGAAACATCACTTAAAGACAATCCCGCTGTTTTCAAGAGGGTTTTACGCCGCCTTTACGAAATGAGTGATTAGCCTGGAACTATTTTTCGTCTCTACAAAATGAAAGCATGAATGAATGAAGTGCGTCGTGTTGAAGTGCATTGTTTGTAGAACGTTGAAGATCACGCTCTCTGCTGGTCAATGGGGCAGCGGGGGGTTTTACAAAGACCTAATCCTAAATGAGTCTTCTCTAAAATAACAGAGGGATTATGAGCTGGTGGACCGTCCTGTGGAGATGAAGCAGGAAGGATTCAGAGAAATGTGAAACGTGTCTTTGTTTAGCTCCTGTTTGACCCCCCCACTTCCTGTTCGGCCTTTACACGTGGAACAGAATCAGGGAAAGTTTAACAACGTGGTGCAACAAAAAGCATTAAAGGTCGTATGGAGTATTATTATTTTTTGTTTCAAATTGTCAATGAAAGTTTAAAATACCATTACAGAGATGCAGCAGCCTTGTAATTATGATGACCAAAAAAAAAAAGAGAATGAAAATCCATCAACTGTGGACGTAGTGAGGCCACATAAATGTCAGCCAATAGAAAACGAGGCTGCCTCATTTTCTATTGGCTGTCAGGTTGTCAATCAAACTCCCTAGTGTAACTGACTCGTCGGCGTGCAGGGATTTCGTGGTTTATGCGGCGGTTCTTAGAGGCTTTTTCAAACTGTAGCTTCCTCGCAGTTCGCACAAAGTTTGTTGCGACGGCGGACGAGAATCCACGACCAGTTCGCCGCAAAAGAAAGTCAATTTTTGAGGTCGCCGAAAGAAGAAGAGAAGAAGGGGAAAAGGAGCGAAGACGAACTGAGGTGATTCTTGGAGATTCCTTCCAGCGGTTGCGCGACCGAAGCAGACGAAGGGTCTAAAAACTGATGCATCGGTTGCTAAATTATTTCTAGACAGGAAACTTCAACAGTAATTCTGAACACGTACTGGCTGTAACGAGGCGGGAGGAGGTGTTTCTACTGAGGAAGTCACGCAGGCACAAGGACTGTCACTGTATTTCTCTTCTCTTTAAAAAATCGTCTATACAAACTTTAAGATAAAGGTATCGAACATCAGATACTAAATACTAATACAAATCTCACTACTTATTGGTCTTTGGTGCTGTGATACTCGCAATTGGAATTCCAAATATTAAAATCTGCTCCAAATACTCAGTTCGATGAGCTTCATTTGGCTGGAGTCGAACGTGTCCACTTCTTTATACAGTCTATGGGTGAAATCCAAGTTGTTGCCACTGCACCAGCTGATCCCCCTCCGTCCTGTAACAGACTCATGGTGTCTGGAGGTGCAGTAGGTGTACAGAGAGAAGAGCTGAGGGGAAAGTACACAGCCCTGTGGAGAGCCCAGAGTCCGAGATGTTCCTCCCCAGTTGCACATGTATTATACTTATATGTATTATGAGGGAACATTGAAAACGTGGCAGAAACCTCCTAAAAGTCGATTTTACAACATCAAAAACCCTCAAACCCTCCTCACGGTTAGCAGTATGGCGGTACGGTGGCTGAGCACTCATGCCAAACTCATGCCACTTTACTGGGTGTAAATGTCTGCCAGTCCAGCAGATGGCGCCCTAGCCTTACCTGTTCAACCACACCCCTCCAGAAAAAGAGCTGCACTCAGAACTTGCTGGATCCAAGCTTGAAACATGTGGAAATGTCACATCACCATAAAAATTAGTTAAACACTTGCAGCCCTCAGAAAGCAGAGCGAGGTACTAGTTTGTTTGTTTATATATATTAGTAAATGTGATGAATTTTAGTTTACCATTTATGTTAGTGTATTTGATTTTATAGCTAAATATTCATGTTTTTCTGTTGTTTTTTTTCCCGTGTAGTTTTCGCGGTGCTATTTGATGTTGCTTAAATCAGTAAAAAATATTGGCACCAGTCGAAGCTCTCTGCGTTTTGATTGAATCTGAGGGACCGCTACACCGGGACAATAAGAAGGTTCTGGGGTTCGATCCCCGGCCCCAGAGTTTGCATGTTTCTACCATATCTAGATGGGTTTCCTTCGGGTGCTCCCGTTTCCTAGCCAGGCCACTGCATCTGATGGTAGCTTGACTAAGACGATAGACGGCCTACGAACCCTTAACAAGCGCCTTAAAGAGCAGTCTGGCGTTGACCAGTCTATGTGGGGTGATTGGATGGATGTATTTGGAAAATACAAATCCATGCTGTCCTCTGCGCTGATCTCTATAGCTGCCATTTTAACATTGTGTGGTTGTTGTTGCATACCCTGTATTAGAAAATTAATTAATCGTCTAATCACCACTGCAATTGCCCCATATCCTGACGATAAGGCAGTGCAAGCACATTTGTTGGCTGGTGATGATTCATACAGTGGGGACTCCTCCTCCTTGGCTCTCACTTCTATTTAATCATGACGCAGAAATACACGACTAGAATAACATTACCTCCGAGTGTAAATATATAATGGCTCAACTATGAAATCATAACTGAAAATCGAAAGAAGTAGTTATGAATTGATTCTTCTTTAGCAAATATATGATAAACAGGAGGGAAATGTCAGAATAATTTTATTATCCCATATTTGCTAAATACTTGTGTGATATTCTAGGCCTATGAGTTAACCATTTATGTAACCACAATTCTTTGATTTATAATGTACCAATCACTTGTATAAAAATGAATAACCTCTTTTGTGTTTGACAACTGTGTGCAGTGTCCTATCGCTCTAGTGAACCTCCAGATGATTCCTCACATGAAGCCAACTCCCACTGTCACACATGCAAGAGTTATGATGGTGTCTGTTAATCATGTTTTATGTTTGTACTATGCATAGCTTCTTATTATGTCTTTTGCTGATTCCCCTTCCCCTTGAGAATTATCATTCTGTAACTAGGGCCTCCTAATGAAATAAAAAGAGGAGAACGGCCTTGAGGCATCAGAACGTGTGGAGACTGTCGGTTCTGATGCCCACTCTCTGCCCGTTCTCCTCGCGAGTAAAACTGAATTAATCTCTTGTCTTTCTTCTTGTTTACAATGTTTAGGTGGGTTTAGACCTAACACTCCACCTAGTGCCTCCGCTCAATTTCATGTCTCTCCAGTGACTAGGTCAGGAAGCAAGTCCCCACAGTGAGTCCTGGTTCAGTCCTCCTGGTTCTGGCCTGGAATCAGCCCTGGGTTAGTCCTGGTTTAGTCCTGGTTCAGTTCGTGGCGAGTGCGGTACAAAAATCCGGCATCTCGAGCTCAGTGTTTCTTCTGCTCAGTAAATAAAGCCTGTGACGTGATGACATATTTTTCGAGTCGAGTCGCGTCTGTGAATTTGTATTTGTAATGAAGAAAGTGTAATTTTTTCATTTTATTTCGTGATTGCGTTTCTTGAAGTCGTAACATTTTAATTCATATTCTAATGGATGATTCAGTTAGAAGGATTTTCATTTGTGTGGGCGGGTAACGGGTGGAATGTTAACGGGTCCGGGCGGGTGCAGGTTTAATTTTGATTAAATCACGGGTTTACGGGCGGGTGCCGTGCTGTACTGCGTGAGTGCGGGTGGGTGCGGGTCTCCAAAAACGAACCCATGCAGGACTCTGATGTGTAGTAGTTGCACGCCAATTGGGGAGTGAGCAAAGGGGAGAGAGAACTCAACCTTACGTACTTAACTGGGTTAGGGGTTATACATTGTTCTCGGCAAATACAGCATTTTCAAAACTATAAAAAGTAACATGGTGATCTCAGTATGTTCTGTGTTAAAGGTTGTATAGAGGATTTTCCAAGGAACGAGAAATCCAGCGACTGTTTGTCCTTTTTCAAATGTTGCGCATGTGTGAAACCACCCCCCCTCCCCTACAGCTCCTACGTAGAAACGCCTCCTCCCTCCTCCTCCTTACGCCACAAACAGGTTTGTTTACAGCCGGTGCTGCACATGACTTGTAAACAACTAACTACAGTGTTGGTTAGGCAAGACGGAGAAGTGAGGAGCGGGGGGAGGGGGGGCGCGGACATTTCGTTCGCGAGAGAGGAGAAGTGAGAGCAGGGAGAAGAGCGGATCGGGCAGTGGGGAGAGGAGCAGGAAAGGGGTGCAGAGAAGAGTGCGCGGAGATTCAGTGCGAATGAACTAGCTACAACACGCAGCAGCAAGCGGACTCTTTCTTTGCCTTGAAAATTATGTTTTCAGACATAGGACATCGCTTTCGTGTCCTGAAAAACGTTTGACTAGCTCTTGGAAATAAAGTACGTTTTCATAATAAGCAGAAGTTTCCTGTCCAGGAGTAATTTGTGGACCAGTGCGTCAGTCTTTAGACCCTTCGTCTGCTTCAGTCGCACCATCGCTGGAATGAATCTTCAAGAATCACCTTAGTTTGGCTTCGCTGCTTTTCCCCTTGTCTTCTTCTTTCAGTGACTTCAAAAACGGACTTTCTTTGCGGCGAACTGCTCCTGGATTCTTGTCGCCATTGCAACAAACTTTTGTGCGAACTGCGAGGAAGATATAGGTCAAAAAAAGCCGCTAAGAACTGTTGCGTTGGTGGAGTAAACAGCGTCTGTGCGTCTTGCGTCTGTGGACTGTGTGACAGTCGTACGTAAACCACGTACCGGCGGCGCAGGCAAGTCAGTTACACTAGAAACGTAGGGAGTTTGATTGACAGCCTGTCAGCTCACAGATAACGAGGCAGTGTCGTTATCTATTGGCAAATGTTTAGCCCCACCACGTCCAGAGTTGATGAATTTTTATTCTCTTTTTTTTGGTCATCATAATTACAAGGCGACTGCATCTCTATAATCTATCACTGACAATTTGAAACAAAAAAACAACAAAAAAATCCTCCATACAACCTTTAAATGATCAACACCTCACAGTAAGTAAGTGTGATTCATTTTGTAAATAAAGCTGCTGTTTGAGCAGTTTAGTCGTCAGGTTTTACTTGTTAACACTTCCTTCCTGTGGATAATACGCTGACGTTTGGACGTTCTTCTGCTGGAAAGTCCAAATGAAGAG